CGGGTTGTTTGGTTTGATCAAATTAATAAACTTATTTATTGTGGGATGAAAACCCTATGTGCTCACCAGGCTCCCAAGCGTGACCCACTCAGTTTCTTGTATTACAGGTAGTGCCACAAGAGCATAGTTGGATGACTTGATGAGGGATTACGGATTATAGGCCAGTAGATATAAATAAATGTTGTAAGTCTTATGTTGTTCTGTTTATGCTTTTGATCTGTATCGAACATGACATCCCGAGGTTTTAATATAATGAAATACATTTCTTCAAAAATGCTTCGATAAATCTTGATCATATTTATCTTTTGGGAACAAATTCTGCAATACTTTTCTTTAAAAGGTTACTCTGATTTTCAAAACAAAGCATAAACAAATCGGTCTTTTCTGGCCGTGGAAATGGGGATGTCACAGTTGGGATTCCTACCTACCTCTTGCAGAGTTTTCCTACAACAGCTATCACTCCAGCATTAGTGCACCGCCTTTTGAGCTTATGTATGGTCGGAGATGCCGCACCCCAGTTTGTTGGGGGAGGTTGGTCACAGAGTCATGGGGAGGACTGAGGTGGTCCTCCAGACTACAGAGCTCATCCAACAGATCAGGGAGAGACTATAGACAGCTTAGAGTTAGCAAAAGAGTTATGTCGACCGACGTCAATTAGAGTTGGAGTTCCAGGTCGTCGATATGGTGCTACTGAAGGTCTCGCCCTGGAAGGTTGTGATACGCTTCAGGAAGAGGAGGAAATTGGGTTCTCGATATATTGGACTGTTCTGAGTGATCGCCAGAGTAGGCACGGTGGCCTACCGGTTGTATTTGCCGAGTGAGCTCAGCCAGATCCACAACACTTTCCATGTTTCGTAGTTACGGAAGTGCATGTTGGATGATGAGGCGGTGGTCCCTTTGGATGATATCCAGGACGATGAGCGTCTGAATTATATTGAGAGTTCGGTAGCGTTAGTGGAGAGAAATATGAAGGTATTGCGCAACAAGGAGATACCTTTGGTAAAGGTTCAGTGGCAACATTGGAAAGGCTCCGAGTAGACCTAGGAGTCGAAGGCATAGATGCGGGAGCATTACCCTGAGTTATTCGCAACAGCTGACTTCGAAGACGAAGTCTAGTTCATGTGGGAAGAATTGTAACATCCCGATGTTGAGGTAATTTCAATTTTAGACCTATTTATGGATAAGTATAGCATTTTAGTCCATGAATACAAGAAAGAGTGCAAAAAGTGATATAGTGGTATTTTGGTAATTTTGGACTAGGGGTAGTATGTTGGGGGTACGTTGTGCATGTTGAGCATACTAGGGCGGACCCTAGTACGTTGGGGGTACACCACGTACGCAGGGCATACGTAATGAAACCTCAAACCCTAATTTTTAGGGTTTGGTCCATATAAAAGCATCATTAACTCTTCATTCCTCATCCACCTTCAGCCTTCAACCTTCAATTCGTCCTTTTAAATCCTAATCCCTTGTATGTGATCATTTGAGCTCAAAAGTATGTGTGTGTGTGTATGTGTGTTTATTTTGTGCTTTTGAAGCAAGGTGAAGAAAGAAGCATCAACTTGGGAGATCGAGGCCATCTAGATCTAGGAACACCTCACCTTCAAGAGCCATTTTGAGGTATAAAGTTATGAACTTGATGATTATATACATAGATCTAAGTTAGCCATGGATTTTGGGTCATTTTGGTCCCATTATTTGGGTATTTGGAGTATGAGCTACTCTAACCCCTTTAAGTTGTCCTTTCAGTCACTTTGAGGTGTTTAGAAGCATAAAAATGTATTCTTGATCATATCTTTCCTTCCATGCATGTGTTTTGAAGTCTTAATGGGTTAAGTGGTTGAGGTTTTTGATTTTAAGACCTCTTTACCCATGCAAGACCATAAAGTTGGAAACTTTATGGTAAAAAATGTTATTTGGGACTTGGATCTGCATTTGGACGTGTTAAGTCGGAGTATTAAGCTCTAAATCGGTTAAGATGGAAGTTGCTTTGTACGTTAGGCGTACCGAAGGGTACGATGCCCATACGCAGATTTGGCCCCGATGCCTCGGACCTCGAGTACGCCCCGCATACCTCCGGAGTACGCCCTGTGTATAAAGCCTGAGTTGACTTGGTTAACTTGTGGATTTTGACCAGTTTTAAGCAAGGGTATTTTGGGAAAATGTTATTAATTTAGAATGGGAAATGTTTTGGCATTTAGGATTGGGTTGATCCGGTTGTCGGAGTTGGGAGCTATTCAGACTGCATTCAGACTCTGAGGTGAGTTTTCCCCACTGGACTTACGGGTCGATGACACCAAGGCCGACCTATTGGATTGATATCCTGGTTTTACCGTATGTTGTTATGGTGTAGTTAGATCTGTATCTTGGTATATAGGATGTTGCTATGTTGTAGTGATCTGTTAGATCTGTATCCTGGTAAATAGGATGTTACTATGTTGTAGTGATATGTTAGATCTGTATGACTACATGTATATGCTAGCTATTGATTGTTATGGTATATGTTGATATTTGATAGTATACCACATTGAGGGGGTCCTGTTTTGTGGTGAAGGCCAAGATACCCAGGGCGGTCAGGATAGACTGAAGGCCTGCGAGGCGGACCAGTTAGGCCGAAGGCCTAAAGAGCGGTCCAGATAGGCTGAAGGCCCAGTGAGGTGGTTCAGTAATGCTGAAACTCTATATGCATGTTGTTGTTGGCTATGTTTATGTGGTGGTACTTTGGGGGAACTCACTAAGCGTTGTCTTACACTTTTAGTTTTGTTTCAGGTGCTTCTGAGGACTGTGGTAAGGCGAAGGCGTGACTGTACACATCCTTGGGTTATGTTGATTGGATCGTGGGAGACTTTGATTTTTAATAATGTTTTGAAAACAATGGTTATGTAAACACTTCTTTTTAGAAAATTGGTTGTTTTGAAAAGTTTAAATTTGTTGTGAGTTTGAGACGTTACAAGACTGGTACTCCGATTAAGTAACTTTAAGGAAGAAAGTAGGGATATAGAGTACCTAAAAAATGGCATTCTCCTAAATCGAAGATCAGGGGTTTTGGGGAAGAGATGTTGGCAATTAACTAGGTGTAGGAGAGAAGCAACACCATCGTGGGAGAGGATCACATTTGTGTAAATTAATGTAAGAAGCAACGATGGTGGTGTGTTCAAAATCGAGATCAATTGAAGAATATAGATCAAAAGCGACCAGAACTTTGAGAGAGATGGATGTAGAAGTTGTGAGGTGGTTGTATCGGGTGGAAATGAAAATTGGAGAAAACCTATGAGCGGAATGTAGGGAGAAGTGACGGAGTTGGTGGTAGTTAACGGTAACGGAGTAGATTGGCGGCCTACGATATCCTAAATTTCGCAATCGGAGCCAAAAATGTGTTAGCTTGTCTTTTCTCTCTTTATTGTAGCTATAGATTAGTAGCCATAAAAAAGGTAATGCCTCTTGTAACTCTTGTTTCCTCGATAAATAAAGGTAAACAAATAGAAGAAGAATAAGATGCAGTTGGATGAAGAAAAAGATGGGAGGGGAGGGGGGAAGAGAGGGTTCGGTAAAGGAATGAGGTCGGACAGACTGTATATTAAATACTTTATCTGTCTCATATTTATTGTCCACTTTTGACTTTTGAAGTATTTATTATTCAACTGTGACCATAAATATTATTGTTTATTGATATATAATACTTGATGCAAAATATATTAATGGATTGTGTTTTAAATGACTTTCCATTGTTATAAGTTTCATCAAGTAATTCATAACACAAATAAAAATATTTAAGGTCAAAGTTGAAGAATAAATAATTCAAAAGTTAAAATTGGATAATAAATATGGGACGGAAGTGAGTAACATGTTTTGTTTTTTCTTTTGTTTTTAAATAATTATGTTAATAAAAAATATAAAAAGTAAAAATGATATAAATGTCATTTTATGTGGATATAGAACCAACTAGCATAGAAATTGAAAAATCATAGAAACTTCCATAAAAAATTTTAAAGTTAGGGATTATATCCATATTTTTGAAAACCATATAGACCATTTATGAAGTTTTGTGTAAACCTTTTTAATATGGTAGATATGTTCTTTTTGTTAAGTTTGATTGTGGATTTTGATCACTATCAAAATAAAATAAAATAAAAGTATTTTATTCATTTTATTTATTTTTCGTAATTTTATATATATATATATATATATATATATATATATATATATATATATATATATATATATATATATATATATATATATAAAGTAACAAAATACCCACCCACCCCACCCTTTGTTTTTGGTGCATTTTTAGGGTTTACTCACAAAACTCAGCCATCGCCTAGGAAAAAGAAGCTACAATGACCACAAAGGCCAATGGTAACAAGTGTTTTATCTAAATTTTAGTTTAATTCATGGCTTATTACATTGGTGGCCATGCATGCAAAAACTTTACACCCAACAAATAATCTCATTTGAAGATTACCAAACTGGAACAACATACGTGACTTGATAATATTTGTACTTAATACTTTAAGGTTACACAGTGTTTAGATCCCTAATGTCACATATAATATAACTATCATTTAAAATATCATTTAAAATATATAGTACTAGTTGTGAGACTCATGTATTATATGGATTAATTTAAAAAAAATTAAATAAAAAAGTCGAAATATTTGAGAATTTTGAATGTATAAAAAAATAAAAAAATAATGAATTATTATAATGAAAATTTTTTTATCTTTTAAATTTAAATAAATAAAAGAAACTAATAAGCTTTAATATTGGGAATTTTGAAATTAAAAGATAAGTTTATTAATGAAATTGATATATATTTATTACCACATTTATTGCAATTAATTTAATAAAATAGAAAAATTCATAAAATGACATATAGAAAAAAAAATTCAAAATAACCATATAAAATGATATTTTGCAAATTGAATGAGAAAACATTTATTTATGAGAGAAGATGAGAAAATTAAGGAATGCATTAAAAATTAACTAGATAGCAAAAATCAGAAAATAACCATATTGCAAAAAAAATAATCATAGTTAATCTTTGGTGGGAGCATCAAATTATCACGGCAAAGAGGGCACGTTGTATGTCTATGTGCAAGCCAGCTATCCAAGCAATTTTTGTGGAAGTGGTGATTACATCTCAACTCTCTAGTCTCATCATCATCTTCGATTTTGTTCAAGCACACTGCACACTCTACCTCTTCATCATATGAAGCTGGTTTTCTTCCATTGAACCACTTGATTCCATGCCCTTCACAGGTTTCCTGCAGGTGGAACTTGCGATGGTGGAAAAACAAATGGTTGATTAAGAAATCAAGAGCCCATTTAGAGATTACAAGAAAGGATACAATGTGATTTGACATGATTTCTTGAGAAAGAGAATGAGAAGTAACGGGATATGTATAAAGTGAGTATTATGTTCATGGTAATGTGAATATATAAGGAAAAAAAATAATAGTTAATTGAAGAAAAGACCATAAAGTGCGTTAGAATTTAAGAAATTTAAAATTGTTTTCAGTTAACGAATTAAACCGCTCGATTAAATTAATTACCAAACCTCATGGTCCAATAATTAATTCTTTTACAATGTGATGATAGAATATTTGTATTTTTGTTGATAAAATATTTAGATACTTACACATCAAAATGAAAGCAAAAGCTAGATGGAATTATAAAAGGCAACATGTGTAAGCTGATTTTGTAAATAAACAAGCATGTTGGGGAACATGGACTATTTGTTTAGAGCCATTAATTAGTACAATGTTTAATATACGTCAACAAAGGCATGTTCCAAATCTTTCCTCAAGATCACGTAAATCGAATTAAAAAGAAAAAGTGACAAAAAAAAAAGAAGTCGACATACAGTATAATTAATACGAAGAGACAACCCTGGTTTTTTATCAAGTAATAATGTGCTAAGAGGGTATGAATGCTCCTTTGCCAATTACTTTTCATTTATATCTCTAAAATATGTGCATATATATAACATTATACCTAAAACCTATAAATAAGGAAGATTATTAAATTTCCGTGCATCAAAGAACTCATGTTTTCATGTTGTTTATTAACTGGCACCGCTGAAAATTTGAAATTTTAAATCGTTGTGGTTAAGGTTTATAACGACGTCATATCACATCGTAGTTTAATTAATGTAATATGATTAAGGTTTATAATGTCATATATATACCCTTTAAATCAATTCTCGTTATTTTCAACATACAACTTAATAACAATGTTTTAAAAACCGGTTTGAACCGGCCGGTCGAACTGGTTGGACCGGGAATCGGGGAATATCACCGGTTTTTTGTCTATTTCTGAACCGGATCGAACCGGCCGGTTTTTACAAAAATTCGGTTGAACCGGTTCAATTAAACCGATTGAACCGGTTAAATTGAATAAAAACACATGGAATTGGAACATTTTGCATAATAAACTTTTGTTAATTTTTTCACATTTATTAAATTTTTTCTGAATAAAAGCACATGATAAATGTTATGAAGTTTTTTTATGTGTTTATATTAATCTAGGACTTTATTTTCTTTTTAATGCACGTGGATTGATGTCAAACTTATGTTTATGGGTTATTTTAATGTATTTAGATTGATCTACAACTTGTTTTCATATGTATTTTAATATTTGAACTTGTGGACATCAAATTCTTGATTTGTGTATGTATGTATGTATAGGAAAATACGAAAAAAGATGAAAATAATAGAAACCGGTTTACTCAGCGGTCGAACCGGTTGAACCGGAAACCGGTCACCATACCGGTTCAACTAAAAAACCGGTTTTTAAAACATTGCTTAATAGATTATAAGGCTGGAGGGAGTGGTGCCACCGAAACCGCACTTCCTCCCCCGCCACATAAGCGCCATGTCACTTTTTACCACACAAGTGTGGTTTCTTGCCAGACCAAGGGAGTGGTGCCACACATTTTTTTCTTTTTTTTTAGCTATTTTAATTAAAACTTCTTTTTTAATAAAAAAACATAATGTTTTCATCACCAAATATAAACCCAAAAAATTAAATAATTTTCATATTTTATTCATTATCTAGAAATAATACAAAAAAAAAATAATACTAATGTTGATTTGTTTTAGTCTGGGTTTTGTAGCCCAATATAAGCTTTAACCAGCCCAAAAAATTAACCCAGGAGAGAGAGTTTAGAGAGAGAGAAGTAATGTGTGGTAGTTTGTGCGGTAGTAAACAACCGTGGGTGGAGGGAGCGCGGTTCAAACCACACCCAAGGGACGGTGTGCTACATGCTGAGGGGGCAAAACCGTGGGTGCTACCGCACCCACTCCCTCTAGTCTAAGATATCCTAGTTTGATAAATGTAATATGGTATGCGCATCTCTAATCTCTAGTAGTTTCTGTAATTCAGCTCTACTCTTCCGTCAGAATCAGCGTGTACATCAGACATGCAATAATGTTCATGAGGGTATGTCATAAAGTCCAGAACTCGGTCATAGATAATGTCCCCCATCGACTATTAATACAACAAAAACCAAATATTTAATTACTCAATTATTAAAGAAAGAGACTAAGCACTAATATACCAAATGATAATTTTTCATAAATCAAAAATATCATTTTAATATACATTAAAAAAATTAAACTTAACCGATATGCGGAATCATTGTATGGCTGATCTCCCCTATTTCATTGGCGTTTTGCATGTTTTTAGTGTATCATACGATGTGACACGGTCATATATGTCTCTGTATAAGTTGGAGTCTCATTTCTCTATAAATGCTCTTTTAGAGAGACATTTTGGATTCCACATAGCAATCCCACATCAATGTAACATTATCTTAGACGTGTCACGTCTCTATATATATTGGAGCTTTCATTCTTTTCATAAGGACTTTTTTGGAAAGACAATTTTATACCCCGTGGATTAACAAATATATCTTCACATAATGTAAAACATAATCTTACATGATATTAGAGTCAGCGTCTCCGTTACGTGGATAGTGATTTGATCTTTATCAAATACACATATGATATCATCCACATTTCCTCCTAACATTTATAGAAGTAACAATTATGTATCATTTTTGTTTCCTACATTACGTAACAACATATAAAACACGGTACATTATGCCTAAAATATGTTTTTTTTAATGGAAAACTAATTTAGTTCTAATTACTCATCTATGTCTCAAATGAGAGTTGAACTCATTATCTTTCGGTTGAGAGTGTTACTCCTTATCGCTAGCCCAAGAGCTCTTTGCTGCCCAAAATATGTACACTAGAAAAAGGTTGTCAAAATACATTTCATGCTACTAAAATCAAACTTTTGAGGCTAGAATGAATTTTACATTTTTTGGGGGTAAAAATTAACAAATGTCATAAAATATTATAACAGTACCAAAAATGACATTTTAAAAAAGTTTAGGAGTTCTTTCTGAAATCAACGTGGTTTAGAAAACTTTGGGGCCAAACTGTAAACTGTATATACTTTAAATAACAAAATCTCCTTAGCCTTCATGAAAGTCATGCTTAGTTGCTTACCTTGTGCCCAGCAGCCCAGGTTCAAATAGCCGCCCAACTTCACATCTGGCTTTGCCTAGTCCGCCCAACATGATCGTTGGCCCACGCAAACTCATGCCATCAAAGATCAAACTAGTAATTTTAATACAAGTGATAACGATTGTAATTTAATTCGACATTATTGAGACATGTTACACTATCATCATCATGTAGTCAAATTATGTGAAGTTAGAGCAGCATTTGGTTCACAATGACCACGCTAATTAAGCAATTAGTAACCCCAAAAGATCCACAAACAAACTTTTTAATCCAAATTTCAAACAAAAATTTCCCATTTCATCAGCTAAATGACATCGGCTGTCATTTTGACCAGTGCTTTAAGCTAGTTTCTTAGAATATATATATATATATATATATATATATATATATATATATATATATATATATATATATATATATAAAGAGAGAGAGAAAAAGAGAGAGGTGAGGGTTCAATTGAGAAAAAAAAAAGGTTGAGAATTGTGGAATCACTCTCAGCCACTCATTTATTTTTGCCGTAAAAGTCTCCGTCGTACCAGCGGAAATGGGAAATGAATAGACATGTGTTTTCCAACAAAAAAATATTTCCTTAAACTATGCTAATCATTACCTTAATATACAAAAACATAGTTTTTTCGTTTTTTTAATTTTTAAAAAGCTTTTTTTATCGAAAAATGATTTTAAATATACCAAAATTCATGATTTTTTATTCTCTACAAATAGACATCCATATTGATATAGTTTTGAGATAAAATAAAAAATTTATTTTTTTTATATTTTCAGCTATCGTTATTCATAAGTGAATAAAAATGCATCAGGTTTTATTACAGTACATTTATGAATAAAAAGTATGATTAATTTTTTTTACAATTTAAGTATCATTAATGTATGAATATATGTCACACCCCAAAACCGGAACGGCGGAAACGTTCTGGGGCGGAGGACGTCATGTACAGTATCACAACAATGCATAATAGTAAACAAGCAACAACATCATACATTGCATTAATAATATAATTTTAATACAAGTGTGTTCTGTGTATAGTTTATAAGACACCAAAAATGAATAATCAAAATAAAGACAAGTCTTAAAAGCTCCGTCTTCTCAAAACCTGGTCATCGGTACCTGTCTACTGGTGACCTGAGAATACAAGTTGTTTTTGAAAGCATAGATCGGCAAGTATTTTAGTGTCATTGCTTGTATGAAAGTATTCGTAAATGTTTGATGTAAATGTTTGTAAGTATTAGTAGTAAATGTTTGTAAGTGTTTGTATCTCCTACAAAATCCTATATTTTCTACTAAAAGTAGCCTTCTACCAAGGCCCGAATGTTCTGTATGTTGTTTGTATGTAAAAGTGTGTAATTTTCCCAAAGATAGACTATCATTACCAAAAATATAGTTTACATTACCGTTTATGTGAGAAGATCACAATTTGAATGTAATGGGAAAATAATAATGATGTACTTGTAGTATTTGTATATAGCTACTACCTTGTACTAACTACCTTAAAATAATTGTTTTTAATTAAGGTAAAATGTGATATAGTTGTAACCATGCTTGATCGACTAGTTAAAACACGACGCTCGAAGACATCGAAATGGTATGACATTAGTCACCCGTAGACCTGCAGGTCCCACTGTAGCTAGCAGCAAGGTGTAGGATAGTCAATCCCGTATAGATCTATACACCAATTCACGCTCTCCCTCCAGGAGACTCTGGTTACAAAACGTGACACAGCAGTAGATTGTCATGCCATGAAGTAGTGGCTCACATTAATGTTATAGTATTCTAGTGTTTGTATAGTATGTTCTAGTGTGTTGTATGTTCT